AAAAAAAAAAAAAAAAAAAAAAAAATTAAAAAAAAAAATTAAAAAAAAAAAAAAAAGGAACTTTAAAAAAAAAAAAAAGAGACTTCCATCGTAAAGAAAACTTATTTTCAGAATGAAGATATGCTACTTCAGAGCTCTGGGATTGAACAGTGTTGTTGTATGATTCTTTTCTTTGGCCATTGCTGTGTACTGTTTTTGTTGTTGTTTTCCTCCTCTCCGTCGGCGCGGCGAGGCGTTGTGGTCACTCTCTTGCACATGGTGGAAGATGTCTCAGGAAAGCCGGGTTTCCCGAGGAGCAACTCCACACCATTTCATGTATTTTTAAAACCCAACTCCTAGCACTGAAGATATTATTAAAAAATAATTAAAAAAAAATAATTAAAAAAAATTAAAAAAAAAAAAAGACAGTAAGAAAGAAGAAAATACTTAATCTAATGTGTAGCAGTTACATATTTACCAAATAATGGACTCAAAAAAGAAATAGATGTTTGAAGAGTGCTTTATATATTAAAAACAAAAACAAAAACAAATTGCTTTATGTTTAACAAAAAAAAAAAGAAAAAAAAAAGATGTTTTTGATTGTTTTGAAAGGAAGAAAGACAATGAGCGGCATACGGCTGGCGTGTCCCGAGTTACACGGACATTGTGCTCCTGCCTGCTTGGGTCAGGAAACTTGTGCATTACATTCAATTTCCTTTCCCTTTCTTTTTGGTTTATTTTGATTTTGATTTTTATTTTGGAAGCTGAGCTTTTGAATGGTTTTATCCGATGTTAAAAGGGGTCCTGCGAGATTGCAAAATTAACAAAAGCTGGTTTTATAGCGGATCACGAACTATGCACAAACTGGGTTCAAGACTTGTTCTTTCGTTCTCGAGGTTCCGTAGTGTATTTAGCTCTGTTACCTTTCCTCAGAGTCATTGCATCTCATTGCCACCGCGCGCCCGCGCCATGCACAGCTATTTTATATCTCTGTCCACGCTCATGTAAGAGATGTCTGTGTGTCTGTGCGCGCTGACGTACGACTTTCCATGCTGAACTTTAGCATTGAGTTGTAGAACTCGTGGTATTTTGAAACGGGGAAGGAACGTTTCTGTTGGCGGGGCCCGGGGGCGCGGCCTGTGGGGCTTGGATTTGGGGGCTTTTGGTTTTGTTGTTTGTTTTTTGTTTTTTGGCCTTTCCTTTCGGATTAAAGATGTCTGTAACTGAGATTAAATGAGAAAAAAAGGAAAACAAAACAAAACAAAAAAAACCTTAAAAAACAAAACAACAAAACACATGGCTTTCAATGTTATCTCCTCATAGAATGTGATTGTTGAAGAACATGCACCGAAAGTTGCTTTCAAGAGTACGAAGATTCTTTGAAAACTAAATAAATCGCAGTTGGTTTTTTGGGTTTTTTTTTTTTTTTTTCTTTTTTTTCCTCCTCCTTGGCTGTTGAAATAACGTGCGTTTTTCTTTTGTGCAGGGGATGCTAAAGGAGAAAATAAAAAGCAGAGTTTGATGCGTGGAGGGAGCAGGTTCCTGTAAGTGCAGTGAGCGCGTGTTGCATCCCGACAGATGCAGGGAGCAGCTGTGGTGGCTGTTGGAGAGCTGCCCCCACCTGTATCTGTGACTCCAGCAGTGCTGTGATGAGTTCTGAATGCAGTTTTGAGCTCAGAGGCCGAGGGCTCCTCCAGCTCTGCCCATCCGTCCCCACGTTGGGACCTGGGTGCTCTAGATAAAGATTGCTGATGGCGCTGAGTTGCAAGAGGTGAGCCAGCAGCCCCGAGATAGGAGCACCGATGGGTTTGTGTTTGGCTTTCCAGGCTTTGAAGTGAGGGAGGTAAGGATGCCGATAGCAGCAGGTGGGAAGGATGGCAGCCCGCTGTGTGGTGATGGGGGTGGGCTGGCAGGGAGGCGGCGCAGTCACCGAGCTTGCAGGCGTTCAAGGAGCATTCGGGCGCTGTGTTGAGGGACGTGGCAGTGAGAGCTGTTGGTGACAGGTGGGCTGGGTCATCTTGTAGGTCTTTTCCAACCTTGGTGATGCTGTGATTCTATGGGCTCTTGTGTAGGTGAGCCTTATGTCCTCCCACCTCCGTAACGCCAGCTTTTTCCTTCCTGGGGCCATTCTGGTGATGGATGCCCACAGCATGAGTTTATCTGAGATCCATAGTGGCTGAGTGTGCAGGGCAACTGTGCTTCATTGAGAGAGAGACCAATGCAAAGAGCTGGAGCAGAACGTCAAACACCTGGGCAGTGCTCTGCAGTTGGGTTTCTGTCCTCAGGGCTTTAACTGCATTGCCAGAGATTGCACGTGTGTCACAGCAAGCTCTGGCCAGTGGGCAAGCCAGGCTGCCCATAGGAGTGCATTTGCTGGCAGGTGAATGTGGTCACAAGAGCTCAGACCTGGATTTTGGGGTGCATTCTGTTACAGAGCTACGATTTCCAGCCTGCAGCCCGTTGGATTTCAGGGCCAGCACTGCCACAATACTGCCCAGTTATCATCTCAGTTGTTTCTTACTTGGAACTGCTTCCCCTTTCCTCTATTTCTTTTTCCTCTTTGGGTATGATGTTGAAACTCTTGGAACAGAGCTGCCTTCTCTTTTATAAAGAGGTTTTCAGTGTCAGCCTTCTCGAGTTCTCTTTGCCCAGACCTCAGCATCCCTTTCATCTTGAGCTAATGAGAGCTTTTGTCATCCCTACAGTTGAGCAAAAACACCTTTTTGTGTATCTGATACACTTAAAACTTAGCATCCTCCCTGGTGTGCAGAGAGAAATTGAGCTTTTGGCCAAAACCCACCTGTTGGTGTTTTGTATAACTTACATTTTCTGCATCGTGCTCTTTTTCTGCTTTGGTGAGGTCAACCGTTAATGAAATGAAGGTTGCTGCTGATGCTGAGGATGGGCCTTAGGTCTCAAGAATCTTTACGAAAGGACCTTTTCACAAACTGCTGTTTTTCCCATGTTGCTTTGGCTGTACCTTCCATCGCACTGTTGCTGCATGGCTGCCCCATTTTCAGGCCAAGAGCATTCCCTCTGTGCTCCAAATCTGTCAATCCCCCCCTTTAGTTCATGTCTAGTTTGTGGGTGGCACTGGCAGAGCAGATTGTTTTGCTACTTCTGCTCCAAATATATATATATTATTATTGTTCTTGATAATTCAGTATATGATTGTGTATGTGAAGGAGCGTTTTAATTAAAAATGTATATGGACATGTGTATATGGTAAGAGTTATTGGAGCTGGAGGAATGTGGACGTGACGTGCCTTGAGGTAGGGGTTGTGGGCAGCTGTGGTGGCCCCAGGCCGCAGATTGCTGTATGAGCTGTGGGTCGCCCAGCGCCCTTGTGCATGAGCTGCTGCCAAGTGTCCGTTAGCATTCCCCTGCTGCACCGGCTGTACCTCTGTACGATGCTGAACGAATGCTCTGTGTGATGCAGATGATGATCTGCTCAGCCAGCTTCGGGGAAAGGGAGTTCTGAATGTTGGATGCACAGCAAAGCGTGAGCGTGGATGGCGCGCAGCCCCAGGTAACGGCAGCCCAGCCCTGCACGGTGCTGGCGTGGGGGAGGCGCTGCGCTTTGCCCTGGGATCTCACAGCAGAGCCTGTGCCCATGTGCAGATCCCATAGGACACGGGCTGCTGTACCCACAGGTGGCTTTGCAGTGATAGTGTACCCACAAAACCCTGATGGCCATGGGAGCAGCCCAGCCTCTGCCCTCTCCCTTATCCCCAGGGTCTCTTCCAGTCCTGTTGTGCTCTTGGGGTTGGGGGAGGCACCTCCACCGCCTGCCCACCCACTGTAGCTTTCCTGAGGGAGCACAGACTGACTGCCCACGTGGCGTCTGCTACACACCCTCAGGTCAGCAGCTCATGTTGCAAACTGCCCAGCTGCATTACGGTCCATCCAGCCCTTGCAGACAGCAGAACTGACCATTTTAACTTCCATGCTGCCACCGCTCTCTCCAATGAAGGTTGGAAGTGACGATGGTGCTCCCGCTGCTCGTTTTTTACTGACTGATGCATTGAAAACAAGTTGCTTGTACACTGATGGGAACGTGGTCCCAGAGCAGCCATGATGTCAAGGCTATTAAAATGTTACAATGAGCCAGAAGGTTCCTTTGCCTTTCATAAGTACTATTGCTAGTAAAGGTGGTTTGCCATGGTGCTGCTGGTGATGCTGAGACCCCCCTCTGCCCGACGCCTCCTCTACCCAATGTTGGAAGTCGCATGTTAACTCTTCCATTGTCCCTTTTGCTCAGGGGGAAGGAACTGGTCAGATCCAGAGCAGACCCTGACCTCTCTGTGGTCCCACCTCCCCCATTCTTTGCTCAATCTACATTTATATTGGAGAAAACATGGCGTGTACCAACAGCAGTGGAAAGGAGCAGTTCTGGTTCTGTTTGCAGTGTTGTGAATTTGGGTGCAGCGCTCATGGTTGCGTTTCACTGCCTTTACCCCGGGATAGGAGAAATCAGAGCAGGCATTATTTCCTCTGATTTCAAGTGGAAGGCGCAGTGCTGCTCGGCCCTTTGCAGGGTGCTCACCCTGAGCATTGGCCCCAAAGACAAACACTGCTAATTACACCCTCCACAAGCACGTATCGCTTCTCCCTTTTACAGTGTTTGGCTTTCTGGCTGGGTGCCCCCAGTTTCAGTGCGTGCTCTGCGTCCCTCCATCCATCACAGCAGCACCCATTGGGTGCAGCGCTGCCGCAGCTGAGCCCCTCCCAGTGCCGTGCAGCTCTCGCAGGCAGTGCTGTGATGGTCCCCGGTTGTTTGTGTCTGTAAATGGAGCGGAGCATCTCTGTGGGATGTGCTTCGTCATGTGGAACGGCGCGCTGCGCTGCGGGGGAGGATGGAAGGGGCTGGGAATGCTCTGGGGTCACCGGACCAGGTGGGGACGGAGAGTTTCCATGGAGAGATGCTCAGGGTCATGGCGATGTTTTGGGGATGGGGAGAGCAGCCTTCATTCTTGAAGGGAAGTGCTTGAAGGGAGCGTGTGAACAGGAGGGGGATCGGCTGTTTACCAGGGTGGGTGGTGATAGGACAAGGGGGAATGGTTTTAAACTGAGACAGGAGAGGTTTAGGTTGGATATTAGGAGGAAGTTTTTCACACAGGGTGGTGAGGCACTGGCACAGGTTGCCCAAGGAGGCTGTGGATGCCCCAGCCCTGCAGGCATCCAAGGCCAGGCTGGATGTGGCTCTGGGCAGCCTGGGCTGCTGGTTGGTGACCTGCACACAGCAGGGGTTGGAGCTGGATGAGCACTGTGCTCCTTTGCAACTCAGAGCATTCTGTGATTCTTCGTGCCACCCCCATGGTTCAGAACGACTCCTATAAGGTGTGGCACTGGGGGAGGTAGGTAGGCAGCAGGCACAGTAGGGGTGGATTTGGTGACCTTAAAGGACTTCCCCAACCTCAGGGACTCTATAACAGACTGCCTATGAAAGCCCAGATCTAACTTAAGCCACAGCCACTTAATGAAGTGGACACACAGGGGGATCCCTGTGCTGGATCCCACAGCTGCACTCAGCAGTAGGGAAGGAAAATCCACATCCCTTGTTGCTGCTGGGGGAAGAACATGAGCTTTGCTTCTTCACCTCATCGCACTGCAAGCACATTTTTCTCCTAAAACAATGAACCAAACAGATGTGGGACATCCTGGTCTGTAACCTCACCCTGCGCGGCCACCACTGCAAACTCCAATTCCCAGGGGCTGTGGCTGTGCCCAACCCCATTGACACGAGTCACACTTCAGGATTGCATCTCAGCACCACAACCCCAAGCCTTGCACAGGGCCACGACCCCTTCCTGCTGCCCAGGGGGGCCCAGAGCTGGGGTTGGACAATGGCGCTGGGTGCTGTGCCAAGCATGGGACAGCCAAGGGGTTGGGGTTACTTCACATTATGAGTAGAGGCGGCCATCAGGGGGCCTCCCATCCTCTTGATTTGAGTGTAAGAATGCAAAGGCTCTAGTGCTTTTTGCAGTGCTGGAGCCAGGGCTGTGTGAGCGCAAGGTACCAGCAGCCCCATGATGGTGTTTATGATTTTTATTATGGTGCCTTTTAAGGGCTGTTGTTATTTCTGTACTCAGATGTGGGATGAGCTGTTGTATTTTCCGTTGCTCACTGCTTGGTAAAAGCTGTCCTGGGGGGGTTATGGGGACAGTGGCCTCACAGAGTGCAGCGATGCTGCTGGGGCTGCAAGTAGGGCAGTGCCAGGACACTGAGATAAGGGCAGAGACCAGAGCAGGGAAAGCAGAGGCAGCGATAAGGGTCTGAGCACAAACCTATCCGTACAGTTAGGAAGAAACCCACACGTTTTCCAGCTCCGTTTTGAATCACCGTGTTTATTGGGTATGCTTAAAAAAACAAACAGAAAACTGAAGAGATGCATAGGCTGCCCTATCACATGCTCTACGCGCCTATCCAAACACAACTACCTCAGACACTCATCATAACCACAGCTGCACCAGGACACTGCATGTGTGGGCATTGGGGCACAGAACCCGGAGGGGACGCAGTGGTGCTGGTGGCACAGTGCCCACAGAGATGCATTCGGCTGCATGCAGCCCACGTCCTACTGTCTGTCCCCTTCTTGCAAGCACAGCTGAGTGCCTTCTGCATCCCAGATGGGCACCCCCCTTTTTTGGGATCCTGCCCTCTCCCCACACCTTCCCAACCAAACCAAAGCGGCACCATCCCATCCGCCTCCCTCCCCGCGCTCCGCTGACCCCACAGTGCCGGGAGAGGAGGGAAGGGTGGGGAGGAGTGGGGTCCTGGCCGGCAGCCCACCTGCATCCCGCTGGGCTCAGCACACGGAGCAGCTGTTGGTTTTGTTCATGGGGGGCCGCAGCCCGTGCTCATTGGGGAAGGTCTCCCTCCTCCTGCAGAGCGCGGGGCCGAGCCGCCCAGGCAGCCGGGCTTGCTGCAGCAGCTCCCTGAAGACCTCCAGCACGTTTTCGTTGTCCTTGGCTGACGTCTCCACGAAGCGGCTGTTCCAGTCCAGCTCCACCAGTGACAGCGCATCCTCTGCCGGCACCTGCCGCTCACCGCCGCTCTCCGCCTTGTTGCCCACCACCACGATGGGAGGGAATTTGTCCTCCTTCACCTCCAGGATCTCCTCCCGCAGACTCTTGACGCTCTCAAAGGATTCGGCGTTGTCGACGGCATAGACCAAAGCGAAGGCGTCGCTGTTCTGGATGGAGAGCTTCCTCATGGCTGGGAAGGAGTAACTGCCGCTGGTGTCCAGGATCTCCAGCGTCACGGTGGCCCCGCTCACCTCGTACTCCTTGCTGTGCAGCTCCTCCACCGTGCGCCGGTGCTTGGGCTCGAAGGTGTCCAGCAGGAAGCGGCGGATCAGGGCCGTCTTGCCCACGCCGGCCGCACCTAAGAAGACCAAGCGCACGTGGCTCTTCTCCTTCCCTACCAGGGACATGACTGGGAGCAGAGGGCACTGGCTGCTCTACAACTGCCGCTCAATGTTTGAGCGTCCCTGGGCGGCTGCAGCTCTGCTGTCCGTCTGTCTGTCCGTCTCTGCTCCCTGTTCTGCAAAGTTTGGTGCTACCTCTTTGCAAACTCCCCGCAGACGCTGTTCATCTTTTATCCTGGTTCCAATCTGCCATGTGGCACCCGGCTGTCCAATCTCTGTGTGTTTAGGGTGCTGAAGAAAGGGAGGGCAGGGAGGGAGGAGAGCAGGGTGCTGCGGGCCAATCCGCGCCGCGCAGTCCAGGAAAGCTACTGCGGCCCTGGAGAGCACCGCGCTGCGTTGCGCAATGCGTGTGTAACTCTCACCGCTGCCGGCAGCGCCGGGAGCTGGCAGCATCGCTGCGCTGGGAGATCTGCTCTGGCTTCTTGGCATGGGCTGCTGGGCAGGGAGCCATGGGGGCTCAGCCTCCGCTTGGGTGGCTCATGGGCAGACGTGGCAGGGGATGCCTGCTGGCATCTGTAGCTTTTCTCGTCCCTATGTGCGTCCTGGAGCTCGGTTGCACATCAAATCGCTGTGGATGGGCTCAACCGCTCTGTGCTGCGCTGAAATAATTGACCGGAGGGGAATGGTGAGAGCTCTCTGAAAACCACACGTCAGAGCCTTCATGTCCAACTGTCAGTTATGTGGTGGTTTCATAAAATATTTATCCTGAGGGAAAAACAAAATCTGCCCACAAACAGCACCCTGTCACCTCTGCGAGCCAATGCTGGGTGGTGCGTTGCAAATGCTGCCCTGACCACAGCCACGCTGTGACCCGCGTCCCTGCTGGTACCTGGAGCACTGGGGCACGGCACACAGCTGTGAACACGGCGACCATGGGCAGCGCTGCGTGTCCCTGGCATCAGCTGTGGAGAGAAAGTTTGGATGTGGGCCACGTTCTTAGGCAGTGGCACAGAAAAACTGGGTCAGAGCTGGAGCAGTGCCAGGGCGATGGGCACAGACCTTCAGCACTGGGAAATGGTTGTGAAGCTCGCTGCTGTCCTGGGCAAACGGTGGAGGAGAGGGTGCTCAGTGTTTGTACCCCATCCCTCGAGGTGCTTGAGGACCCTGGGCAGCCTGAGCTGGGAGCAGCCAACCCACAGCAGGGCTGGCAGTAGGTGGGCATTGAGGTCCCTTCCAACCAACCCAACCCAACCATGCTGTGGTTCCAAGATCCTGTGTTCACTGTGTTGGGAGGATGAGGGTTGTTCATCAGCATATGGATTGAGTGCATGGTCTCGGTGGTCACTTCTTCTTTTCAAGGTAGAGTCATAAATCATGAAGTTGGTTTCTGAAAGATGGAAGTCCAGAGGACACCTGTTGAAAAGGCAGGACAAGCATGATTTTGTGTTTGTGGGTTCTTTCCTTAGCTTTGGACTTAGCTTTTGTAATATTAATGCAATCGATTTTCTTTCCACTGCAAATTGCCCTTCAGTTTTGGCTGAATTTGTCTGCTGATTTGGAAAGTCCCTTCCACAAGAAGGAAGGGTCTCCCTCCTCTCCCTCCTCTTCATGCCTCACCCTATCCATTGTGGCAACAGCCAAGAGCTTCACTGAGGTGAGCAGCCCTCCTCAGCAGTCTGCTCTGGGCAAGGGGAGCGTTGGGTCCCCAAGGGAGGCCCTGGTGCCCAACTCTCTGGCACTCAGCACTTTGCTCACGCTGTGCTCTGCCCAGATAATGTCCCAAAGGCGACACCCAGGATTCACCCACAGTGAAGCTGGGGTGCAACAGACACCATAGGAGCTCGGTGAGCCAAAATCTGGGAGGAGGGATGGAACCATGGGGAGTGCCAGCTTTGGGCGAAGGGTGCAAGCTGACACAGTGACCACATCTTGGTGCCATCAGCTGAACCAAAGATGGTATGTCAGCAGGGCACAACGCATAACCTTAGCCCAGCTTTGTGAACAGTTTGAAGCCAAAAATAGATACATTTCTTTTCATCAGGAAGGAATTCTGTTCGTGCTTCTTTGCATCTCCCATCACTTCTCACATCAGCTGTCTACTGTGCGTTTTCACATCTGCGCTGCCATGGTTACCAAGAGCCTGAAAGGTTCTAAATCTCCCTCAAAGCAACGGAGGATTTCGGAAGTAATCTCGTTAAGAGATGAGCAATGAATATTTCCAAAGGCCCTTTGCACGATTCTCTCTGATGGCTGCTTGCAGGAGAGAGCGCGGAGCGGGGGGACCCTGCATCAAGGGAGGGGGGAGAGCAGCTCTGCTGCCATTGCAGCCTTTTGTGTCCAGCCTAAATGTGACATTTTAGCTCGGATGGGTGGGGTGTGGGAACAACTAGCAGTGCCTTCATGCTGAGCTTGCCCTGCTGCCCATCTCTTCTGGCTTCAGCATGTGCTCCGTGGCAGCATTTGGACAGCGGAGGCTGTCACCTGCCAGACAACCCAGCGCCCACCCCACATTGCCTGCTTTGCCTCCTGCTTCTGCCCATGGATAAATTCATGGTGTACGTGAGGGCAGCTGCGTGTGCTGCTGTTCCAACCGAGACAGGAGCGGGGTGGCGATGAGAAACCCCAGCGAGAGCATCCTGAGCTCCCATTTCTGCAGGCAGAAGTCTGGTGGGGGTCTGGGGTGAGAGGCATCATTTCTCCCTCTGGAACTGAGTCCTGAGTTGGAGATGTGGCAAAAACAGGAGAGGATCGGGCATCTGAATGGGGCTGGAATTAATTAAAGGCTCTAATTGCAAGGTGGTACAAGGGCTGAGGTCGACCAGGCATCAGCAGGGTGAGGGATGGGGAATGGGCAGTGGATGTGCTGCAGCTGCAGTCTTAGTGGTGCCTTGGCTCTAGTGCTCCCATTGCCCCCAGTGACCCCACTGCCCCCAGTGTTCCCAATGGCCTCAGTGCTCCCTGTGCCCCCAGTGCCCCCAGTGACCCCACTGCCCTCAGTTCTCCCAATGACTCCAGTGCTTCCATTGCACCCATTGCCCCCGGTGCTCCCAGTGCCCCCAGCAGGCAGCCAGCACCCCCAGCACGACCCACTGCCACACAGGAGGGGGTTAAAGCCACCCGTTCCCCAGCAGGAGATTAAATCCGAATGGCCTTTGCTTTAGCGACAGGTGAGAGGAGAAATCTGAAACTCCATACATTTTCTGCAGCCCCTGATGCATAGATGTACCGACGCTATATGTGCTCCGTGTCACCGTCTGGAACAGTGTGTTGTGGAGGATCCTGTTCCCTGTTCTTGGGTACGTGCTGCCCCGACGGGGAGGGCTCGGCCGTACGGTGACCCCACAGCCGGATGGGGTTGGTGATTAATTAAAGGCTCTAATTGCGGGGTGGCACCAGGGCTGGGGCTTGCCTGTGTTCCTGGCCAGGCATCAGTGGAGCGAGTAATGTGTGGGGATGAGGGTGGGGATGGGGATGGGAAGGTTATGGGGTGGCGATGGGAGGGGGCTGGGGTTGAGAAGAGGATGGGGTTGGAGATGGGATGGAGATGGGAATGGGAATGAGAATAAGGACAGGGATGGAAATGGGGGTGGGGACAGGGATGAGGATGGGTTGGGATGAGGATGGAGATGGGGATGGGGATGGAGATGGGAATGGAAAATGGTGATGGGGACGGAGATGAGCATGGGTTGAGTGGGGACAGGGATCAAGATGGGAATGGGGATGTAGATGTGGGAAAGGTATGAGGATGGGTTAGGATGGGAATGGAGATGGGAATGAGATGCTCTGGTGTGGACATCACTGCTGGTGGCACCAACTGCTTTGAGGGCACTGCTCGAGGGCATCCTCCCTGCCCAGCCCCACACAGCACCTGCTGATCCAGTGGGAGCCATGTGCAGGACAGAAGAGGTGCGGACAGCATGTACCAGCGGGGTAATGGGAGCCGGGCTGCCTGGAAACACCTCTTGTTAGGACTAAAGGGATTTAGCACAGCTGTTCTCAGGCTCAGAGGAGTTTCTATAGCATCTCTTATCTCGCTCCAGCCAGGATTAGCAGCGGCAGAGAGAAGCTTGCCTCTCTCTGGGCCACCGACACGGCATTTCCTAAGGTGACGCCGGGTGAGGCTGTGCAGCAGTGCTATGGGGTCATCAGCAGGTGACAGCTGTGGCACTGGGCGTCCTGGGATCCATGTCCCTTGTGTGCAGGGGTGCAGCCTGGCCCCTTCCCATGCTCTGTACAGACAGGGAATGTGCTGCAGGCTGCCGGTGCTCCCAATGATCCCAGTGCTCCCAGCAGCCACCTCTGCTTAGCTTTGCCCACTGCAGTGGCACTGGGGAAGGACACAAAGCACTGGTGCATGATGTGATCCCTCTAGCCAGAAGCACAGGGCTCCATCTTGGAGCTGAGCATCCTCATGGGCTGAGATTCTCCCCCACGCAGGGGCTGCAGCCCAGAGGTGAGGCGGCTGTATGGCTGATGCCATGGCTGACACTAACACCCCAAAGAAGTTTTTGCTGTCCTGGTCAGGATGCAGGTGCAGGATGTGTCCCCCTCACCTCCAGGCTCCCATCCCACTGTGCCTTGCCCCATCTCAGCGCTCTGCTCCGTGCCCCCTCCAGCAGCAGGGAGATGTGCCGCTCTTGCCCTGAAAGCCGAGCGCTTTCTTTTTTCAGACTGCATGGAAATGTCACACTGTAAACACCCCCCGGTGACGCTGCCATTACCCGCAGTCCCTCTGACCATACAGCCACGATTCCTTGGGCCACCATGGCCTCAACATCCCCTTGTCCTTCAGAAGCCAAAAACCCTTTGCATCACCGCGACAAAAAAACGACGTCAGCGTTGGCCCACATGCCTCGCTCCTTGCTTCTGCTGCCATGTCTGTGAGCAAACTCCTTCCTGCTGCAGGCGTGCGCAGGGGGAGCTTTAACCCCGAGCCAAGCAGATCACCCTGAGTGCTGCTGACAGCGCTGCAGGAGATCTGCCGGCTCCGTGCACGCCGGGGCACTGCCGCCTGTCAGAGAGCCTCATCCCCACGTCCCCAAAATGCGTTCTGTCGGTGAGCAGCA